ATATTGAAAATTCTTAAAATGAATTATTATTGTATGTTAGTAACATGTTTGATTTAAATAATAATAAAATATTGCTTCTACTAAATATATCATAAGGTTTTTTCCTTGTAGACTTCTCCATTCTACGCGACATTGGCGAAGTAAACTGTGCCCAAATGGCAAGCCCTATAAGCCACAGAACAAAGAACATAACAAGATTTTTTCCTTGTCGAAATACGATTTTAGTATTTCGATTTCTTTCTTAACTGTGGTTTTTAAACTATCTATGCAAATAATAAAATGGTAACTAAGCCGAATCTGTACATTGAATATTTTTTGGAAAATCTTATTGAAATAGACATTATTATCGATACAGAGGCCGAATCTATAGTTTTTAGAATTTTTGTCTGTCTGTCTGTCTGTTACCGCATCACGAGAAAACCACTGGACAGATTTTAATGAAATTTAGTATGATGATAGCTGGTTATCCGGGTCAACATATAGGATACTTTTTACCGCGGGAAAATATCTCATTTCTGAGAAAAAATACAAAAACTGCATTGTAAGAGTATACTAAATGTAAAACCTAAGAATTTGGTTTTTGGTCATTTGAACGCGGGCGGAGCCGCGGGCAATGCTAGTCTTACATATTATTTATGCTCTTCAGTTTACGTCGTTAACCCTTTTACGTTACGTTAACTCGTGACCTTGATCTGACAGAAGTATTTATTATAGCTTAATATGTTAAACTATATCTTTATAATGAATACGAAGTATGAAAAAGGTAAATATCTATACTTAAAAAGTATATAAGTTATATAAAAAGGCACAATATCTATCATAATATTGATTTGAAAATCTAAATATTTTTAAAAAGTTTTGTTTTTTATTCGTCAAAATTGTTAAAATATTATCTTAATTTCTCTGATTAAAGGAATATTTCTTTTATACGAGGTGTGGCCATTAAATAACGAGACTGACGTTGCTATAAAAGAAATACGCATATATATGTACCTCAAACATCACTGACCACCAGCTGTTTAACTTGAAGCCTTCTCGTTGAATGTAGTATCTCTAGTTTCTGTAAACAAATCCGTATGACTGCCAGCCTTTGTTCGCCTTAGAGTTGTTTGTGTTTATGCGAAAATTCATAAAAAAACGAAAAATCACTATTGAAACTTATAATGATATAAGATTCGAGCATTGAAGCTGTGAAAGAGAAAGTGGCACACGCCCTGAAGGTGATGACAGAAAAAGTGCAATGTTTAGAAACATGGAAGATTTGTATGGAGCGTTATAGATATAAAGAATATATAAATATATATATATTGAAGTTAAGAATAAGTAAATATATAATATAAAATTTATATAAAGTATTTTCACAGCGTCATTCTCATTATGTAATAACTACTACACCTCGTACCCATATCTTTTCTTTTCGACGTTGACTGGTCTTTACTGCACTGGACATTAAATCCAGTTGCAACAAATAAATGTAATATTTTAATATTACATTACTTCGCTGATCTAGTATTTGGGTTTTTCTGTCAAAAAAATTATCAATAACAGCTTGCTTGCAGTTAGGAGGTTGAAACACCAGTGCGTCTGAGAGCACGTGTCGTGTCGGTCCTGTGTCTTATCTCTCACAAGTCGTCTCCACGGAGTATGAGTGATAGGAATAGAGAATGTCTTGTAATCACGCACTTTTACATTATAATATATCCTGTGATGTTGGTTAGTCTCAGTGAGATTGATGGGCCGTCATACGCGAAATTATGGATTATTATTGTCGTAATACGGAACTCAGTGCGTGAGACAAATCGAACTTGGACCTTGGCCTATGTTGTACACTAGTATTATAAATAAGAAAGTTAGTATGTTTGTTACTCCTTCAAGCTAAAATGCGCCTGAGCGAAGTAGGATAAGGGTAAATCGCTAATAAACAATCCTAGTAAGGTTAGCGTTAATAGAAATCGCTATAATAAAAAAAAAAATTAACATGTTTTTGTGAAAAAACGACCCATTAAATTATTAATTATTGGCGGAATTGTAAACTTTGACCCGCGTCCGTGAGTTGGAGTGATAAGGTTATAATATGTCTTGTAGCTATATATGCTTTATAAAAAATTTTAAATTAGTAATACCAAGTTGATACAAGCGGATGGTGCTCATTCCGTGTTAAATGTGTTAGTTCATTGGTATACTTTGTGCCACTTGCCTAACTTCAGTTTCAATCCAACATGAAGTTATATTGGAACACTGGTTTTGCAGGTACCTACCAGACATTTTATAAAGAAATATTAGTTTTTATTTTATTATTATATTTAAAAGTAATTTCTTTGGAATTGATTTTTTTATTTATTTTTTTATGTTTTTGTAATTGTATTTTACACTTGAAATAAAAAAATATAAAAATCTGTTTCCAATTAACAAGAAAAAATAAATTAAATTCGGGTGATTGAATAACTTTACCTTTTTTGAACACGGTCTAGACTTGGAAAATATAATTAAATATTACAAATTTATACCTAACTAGCATTGCCCGCGACTCCGCCCGCGTTCAGATGACCAAAAACCAAATTTTTAGATTTTACATATTAGTATACTCTTACATTGGTGCTTTTGTATTTTTTCTCAGAAATGAGACATTTTCTCGCGGTAAAAAGTATCCTATATGTTGACCCGGATTACCAGCTATCAGCATACCAAATTTCATCCAAATCCCTCCAGTGTTTTTTTTTATAATGCGGTAACAAACAGACAGAAAGACAGACAAAAATTCTAAAAACTATAGATTCGGCCTCTGTATCGATAATAATGTTTATTTCAATAAGAATTTCCAAAAAATATTTAATGTACAGATTCGGTTTAGTTACAATTTTATTATATGTATGTATAGATTATTTTGCCTAATGCAGTGCATAAAAAAATACATAAATAATTTAATTTTGTTCATACCTTACATTTAAATATTACCTAAAAATTGTCTTTGATTTTTTGAGAATATTTAATTTTGAGAATATCATATTATGAGAACGAAGGTTTATATCACTGTTTTTCGAATATTACATGCAGATTCTTTTTTCTTTGATGTGATCCTCGTACCTGTATAATATAGACTAAAATATATTTTTTTACATTGTAACTTTTAAATAAATTTATTACTGTGAAATTAAAATGGAATATAAAATGTAAGTACTATGTTTAAATAAAAATATTATATTAATTTGTTAGAGTGATATTCTATTAAGTATCTCATTTTTTTTTTATTTAATGAAGTTATGACAAATTGTCACCCAAAAATCAAAAGTAATAAAAAATAATATTAATATACAATACATATATTGCGATAATTAGATTTTCGATTGTACCTACTACGTAGTATTTCAATTGTGCATAAATTAAACATATTTTTTTTAGAAAATAGCGCAAATATTTAGATGGAAACTTTACAAAGTATCTACATTGTAACACTACACAATATGCATTTTGTATTTACTTCATTCTTCACTTACTACGAAACAGGAACATACATCGATGTTCATACGAACCTTGTGTTTACTAGCTATATTTCTATGATTATCCATATTTGTTAAAAACCTTAAAAAACACATTTTTGACAAACTGCAATTGTTAATATATTTATGGAACTCGTCGAACCGATCGCAACGAGCCCAAACTGAAACGAAGAATATTTGCTCTAAAAAAACGCAATAAAATCCAAAAAAAAAAACTTTTATTTAAAACAAGCGACTACCTAGTTTGATTCCCCATACAAACTTTCATCCTCTTTAAAGGATGATTCCTATGTCCTTCCCAGAGTCTCAAACTATCTTCTTACCAAATGTCATCTAAATCGGTTCAGTAGATCCAGAGATTATCCCTTACAACATCACAGACTCACAAACTTTACTTTAAAATAAATGAAATTCCACTGCATAGTAATTAAATGTATGCGTGTTATGTCGTAGTCCAATCGTAGAATTGGTAATTTTATAATATGTTCGTCCTTTGATGGGTGGAAGAAACGGTGACATTTCATGATATAGAATAAGACCAGCTGGCCACATCATGATGTGGTCTTTTGATTGATGTTTTTTTTTTAATCCCAGAACTCCCTATTATGTCCGGTCGAACATTTCACGACATGTAAAACCGACCCTATTTTTAGTACATACCCGACATTAATACTAAATAGTTGATAACCTAATAAATATTTTATTAATTTAACACATACATATATTTAAAAAAATCTGATCCATTTACCGCTTTAGTCATTTGGCTACCATAAAAATGATTACGGTTTTTTTCCTTACGAATGACGACTAAAATCCTAAAATCTTTTTTTTATACATTCAAAAATATATGTATTTATTCTACAAAAAATGTTTATTAGACGAATTAAATTTTATAAATATTGCTAATTCTATATCGGACGAATTTAAAATACAAATTAATCAACCGATTGTCGGACAGATAGACACTTTTTATAACGATTGTCATAATATTTATTATTTTTATATGTTTATATATACGACATAGTTGATCATAAAAATTAACTAAGTTAGTAAATAATAATGATATGATATACATATTATGATAGTTGTCTGAGTCGCGCCTTGAATTTATATTAAATATTTATACAAATTTAATTAATAGACCAACTGGTTAAAAAGATTTGCTGGCTTTTAATCAGATTCTTTAAGTATGAGAAGTTCAATTATATGGTACGACGAATCAAGTCATGTGTAACTTACAGTAAGTATGACTTGTACAAATACATTTTCTCTTAAAGTAAAGCTCGTGTTTAGTTCTTAGTATTTAGTTATCACTTACCATTAAGTTTAAGCTTCTTGCTTTGAAAGCACGCTAGTAGAAAGTATGACCGGTAAATTGGCCAATTACGCAAGCTGTCACAAACTAAGCTTATTTTATATGGGAAACGGAATATTAGTATCGCTAACAATACTTGGGGCACTTCGATAGTTTCCGAGACGTGAACGTGTATGTCTGTGTTGCAGAGGGCGCTTTGCCTGTAGAGCACATTGACGAGCCATCTCACCTGAATATAAGTGATGTCAGTGAGTATCGAATCACTTAATTAAAACTATTTAACTATACTCTTCATATTTACAATAAGTTTCCTAAATGGCAAGTTATCCTCGGTGCTGCCAGCTTTCTTTTTCTCCCATCATGGATTTTTCGTTTATTACCTTACTTTTGAATCCTTATGTTGATTATTAATTAAGAGATTTTATCCTAATACAGTACGAAAAAGGCGAATATTCAATCATTCTTATATCTATATTTCATGCACATATTTTGTCTTATTCAACTGAGTTATAAAATATTTAATTATCTGAAAAGCATATAACTTTCCTAACTTTGAACGTTCTATTTACGTGCCAAAATAGTATACATTCTTATACTCGAAAAGTATTACCTTTCTCTTGTAATTGATCGGGAACTAAAACTAAAACTTACGAGAGTGATGATAGATCTCTATCAGTGGGTTGAATTCATAAAAAAGTAAAATAATAACATAATTTTTATCACATATTTACATGAACGTACAATAAGTCATAAAGGTTAAAAGAGTTTGCATTTTAAGCCAACGTATAATTTGAAACAGTTATAAAACGTGCTACTATGTTTATTTGACCTTTCAACACATCATTAAAACTAATGTGGAAACTGGATGGAGCTTCATGTATATATATATATATATATATATATATATATATATATATATTTATATTAATTTGATAACTCTTATCTCGGGTCACGGAGAGTGTATCATTATTTTCTAAATGCAAGCATAAAGAAGTGGGAAATCCGTGGCTCCCATTTTGGATGCTTCAAATGAAATCTACATTTAAAAAAAAAAACGAGTTTTTTACCAATTCGATCACGTTGTAAAAGTGGATTTATATGGAATAAAATCAGCGCCTTCTAGTGACAAAAAGAGACAATTTTCTCTTGACAATGACAGCAGGATCGGTTTACGTTGAGATAGAGAATAGTTTTATTTGTTACTTATTAATTTACATTATATTCTTCAGAAGGTAGACTTCTCGAGTAGCTTCATTTTGACTAGACGCCCAACTTTCTTTTCTACGAAAATCTGATAGTGGTGGATACAACTGTGGATTGATATGGAACATGTCAAAACAGTGATTGTCTAAAAGTTTTTGCTAACAGGTTGTTTTACAATTTAATCTTTATTCTTTGGATAATTATATATGTTATAAATATATAATATGTTAGTTTTGAGGTATATATTATGCTATGGACCTCTGTTTACATATTTAAGATCTTTTTGTAAATATTGCCTGAAATAAATGATTAACTAAATTAAATAAAAATAATTAAACATAAAACAATAAAAAATGTTGTACAAAATGTTGTAAAAAAATGTATAAAACAGTTGGCTTGGATCAAATCGTCCACCTCTCCGAACTTAGTAAAATAACGTTATAAAATTTATTAATAACCAGCTGATTGTCATTGTACTTATTATTAAAAATAGGCATAATTGAATGGTCACATCGTCCTACAAATAAAATGGTAGGATTTCTCAGTCCTACGCTTGGATACTGTCTCCCGCGCGGTGATACTTTATTCATTACTAACTGTAGGACAAAGACAGCACATGAAAGCGTATTTCTATAAACAAAAAAGTTAGCTACTTTGTACGTTGTAAATGCTCAACATATTTCAGTAAAATTCGGAGTCGAGATAACTCATATTATAGATTGTATATCTACTATTGTTAATCGGTTCGATTATAAAAAATTTAAAATAAAAGCTCGCAGCTTTGCTTTTTTCTATATACCTACTTCGTAAGCACTGAACATGACCTTTAGGAGCGCGATAAAAGCGCGAGCAAGCTTTTAATTTAACTTCGGATTATCTAGCAAATTGAAATGAAACTGAAAGTTAAAATCTTGGATGGATTTATGGTTTAAATATAAAGTTTTTCTAATGATGTAACTGATTATTTAAAAATTGTTGACTTGACCTTTAAATTTAACTTGGCTACTTTTATTTTAGAAAGAGAATTAAGGTTCTACTTAAAAAAATTAAAACTTACATATGGCTAAGCGAGGGTAAGTCGCTAGTATTACATATATAAGTATATGAATAAAACGGAGCATTGTCGATAACATTTTTCAAATTTTTGTGTAGTTTATCATTATGTATCCAATTTCGTTATTTAATTAACTGATCTAATTTAGATGAAATTTAGTACACACAGGTAGATAGACCTGAAGTAGCGCGTCGACAGGCTGTTAGACACCTAGAGACACACCCGAGCAAGTGTAATTTGCTAGTTTTTAAAAAAAATTAGTTATAAGTTACACTTGTTTTATTGCGTTGTAAAGTTATTATGTGATCTCTAACAAATATATTATATATATATATATATTAATGATCGAATATATATATATATATATATATTCGATCATTAATAAGCCACTTGAGTTTAATAATAATGAAACCATTAGATACATATCTGCTACGTACGTGCCGATAGCATTAAGTGTGTTATGTAAATATCGAAAATCCTTTTATTTGAAGTGTCATTTATTGTAATAGGATATTGTAGGAAAATTTACAACTTAGAAAGTTTAGTAAATATATTTAAAAAAAGTTCAATATAGTTAAAGTTTGATACAGCTTTCCGTAAACTAGTCTAGTGACCTGTCTTGCTCATTTTGAGTCTATTAATTAGAACATAATTTAAAACCATAACACCTAGACACTGTATGCACTACCTATGCTCTTCGCTAGTAAGTGTACTTAGTGGTGTTCTTCTGACCGCATGATTTTCTCAATATTCTATTTATTATATACCCGTCGTTTGTTTTGTATGCAAATCATTATTTCTTAGACTTAGTGATAGTTTCGGTGCTAGGTATACATAAATACAAGTTAGGCGATGTTATATCATTTGAAAGGATTTATCTATACTAATATTATAAAGAGGTAAAGGTGAGTTTGTAACGTTGTAGGGGGTAATCTCTGTATATACTGAACCGATTTAAATGAAATTTGGTAAGAAGATAGTTTGAGACCCTGGGAAGGACATAGAATACTTTTTATCCCGGAAATCATCCCTTAAGGGTATGAAAATGGGGATGAAAGTTTGTACCCAAGCTAGGGACGAACCCGAGCGAAGCGAGAATGAGTCGCTAGTTATACTTATATTATAAACATTGTTTTCACTATTGTAGTTGTTACTCCTAAAACACTTTTCACTACTCACAACCAAGCTGTACGTTATGTTATCGCGAATACGTAAATTATGATAGAGATTAGAGATACGTTCATTATTGGTATTACGGTCGTAGAAAAAATAATTCAAAATTGATTGACTAAGCCACGAAAAATTAGATGAAGAGACTGATATAATATCTGGAAGTAATGATAATTAATTCATACTTATAATTACCAAATAGTATATAATACATTTTATATTTATTTTTTACTATATTTTTGGAATCTATCTATCTATATAAATAAAAATGAATCACCGAAATGGATGTACGCGCATAACTTCCGACCGACTGCACCAAATTGGATAATTCTTTTTTTTGTGTTTGTTATTGCCAGGAAGTTTTATATAGTAGAAAATTAAAAAAAAACTAAAATAAGATATTTTTTAAATCTCATGATATGGAAAGTGAGTAAGTGAAATAGTTTTTGTCCCGGAAATCAATCTTAAGGGGGTGATGATGGGAACGTAAGTTTGTAAGGGGAAGCAAGCTAGGGACGAAGCCGAGCGAAGCGAGGGTGAGTCGCTAGTTTAAATATAAAGATAGTCATATGAGTTACATTAATGCACAGTATTGCCTGAGTAGTATACGAGTAGACTTTTCTCTCGGACTCTTGACCAATGTTAAACATGTCAGATACCGAATTACTCTTTAACATTAATTAAATAAACGTTGTTGATTATACTTTTGTGTACATAAATTATTATGTATGTACATTTATTATGTATATTGTACTACTGTATAGAACTATCCTTACAAAATAGTTAATGATTATATTTTGGATCTAGCACAGTAAAAAATTACCGCGTATCACGTCGCTTTATTTAAAATCAAAATAATATTTTAAAGTCGGGTAATCTGCATCTAATTATTAAATATGATTAAGGTAATTATAACCTTTATAAAATTAATTATATTACCTATATAGATACAAGTATAATTTATGACTGAAATATATAATATTTAATTAATAATTTAAACCCGTAAATCGAACTAGGTTTCTAACGGCTCTCTATAAATGCCACCGATACTTTCACTGAATATTGGTTTTCCCCCGTGCCCAGAGTCGAGCGCTAGATCCGCTACAGAATTGCATCCCATTTCATACTGCGAAGGCAGAACTCATTTTTCTTCATATACGAGCATGATTGATGATTTTTTAATATTTAGAAAATAATGTTGCAATATTTTCCTAACGTACATTATGTGGTTAAATTTCCATAGAGTCCTAAAAGTATTATGTTCAGTTTTAACAAAATCAAGGAGCTCTGAAATTGTATTCAGCCCTTATTAACTTCCCATTGCTAGGCACGTACGTGCCTCCGTTAAATGCGAGGGGGAAATAACACTTTTTTAACACTGTCGTTGTTTGTAATAGGTATTTTTTTATTTATTTGAAAGATACTCCATCGACTTATCATAATGACACTATAATTATTGTAACATATACCTACATGCGATTCGGTATGATTCGCCTTTACAGGTGTATACAGCATTCAACTGTACTGTGTTACTTATGTATTTCCCTTAGTGTTTCGGACGACCAGAACCAGGGTATGTCTAGTACCCGGAGGTCGACCTGGGACAATCTCCCAGACGTTCTTGGCGTACACGGCAGTATGTCCGTTCGCTGGTAATGTACGCCACCACGCACCCCTGAATGCGTAGCTTGGGTCCCGATCCACTAGGGTTTCTTCGTTGACAGGAGACTATACTTAGAGGCGATGAAATAAAACACAATTTTTCCTTTTTTCTCTCTTGGTTTCGGTTCTTCCTTTTCCTTTTAGTTGTTGCCTCTTCGG